TCTCTCTCTCTCTCTCTCTCTCTCTCTCTCTCTCTCTCTCTCTCTGTGATTTCACTGGCATAGAAAAGAAGTAACAAATGACCCACTCTAAGGCAGGTCTAAAACACTTTGGGTGACCTTTACCCAGGTATGTGTTTCCTGCTGGAGACAAGTTCCTGGTGTTGTGTTGTGCTTATACCTGCCTCGCACATCCAGTGGTCTTTATAAGCTTGAATATGTTAGCCTCTGAGGGCTGAACCATCCTTTTATGACCTGGATTGGAAACCCAAACTTCAGACTCAAAGCCAAATCAAGACGCAATCAAGGCTGGATTACAGCTTCTCAATCAGAAGCCCCAAGCCCTGCCCTTTTCTCTTTGTAAGTCAATAACAGAAGGAAAAAGACCAAAAAATCTCTCTAGGATGAAAGCCTGTTGGCCAGTCCAGGCTCTTTCCCAAAAGTTGTATCATCTGGGAGAAGAAAGTCAAGCAACTAAACCATTTGAGGCCTCAGAGGGTTTCAATTCCAGCTCTGGATTTAACGTACCAGCCCTGACTTCGGGTAACTCACAAGGCCCCTTTGAGCCTCAGGAGTTGTTGAGAAAATTAAGGCAATGGGATTGTGCCTACACATGTAAATTTGGGTAATGATTCTTGTGCCTAGATTACCCAGAACCTTTTTTCCCCCTTATTTTCTTTTGGTACCAGGAATCAAACTCAGGCTCTTATACTTGATAGGCAGGGACTGTGCCACTGAACTATGTTCCGGCCCTGCCTGGAGCCTTTTCATCTAAGTTTCTTACAATCCTATAATCATGTAAATCCTTGTAATCATCCTACAATACATTTTTAGTTATGAATTGCAGGATTTCTCCCCCTTAGGCTGGAGTGTTTTCTCCCTTAGTCACAGGCAGCCCAGGGAGATTTCTCACAAATCACATGCACCATTACAGCTCGTCCTGACAAACCAGATTTTCTTCATTACTTGCAAGGCCAGGGCCTGTGCTAAGAGAGAACCCTGGGAAGCCACATTTGGAGCTGGCATGTATTATTTGTTTTTCAGGCTTTGGGTATACAATAAGGTGGGTTTTTGTTTGTTTTGATTTTTGTTTCTGATGCAACAGGAAATGGTGCACTGAGTATATACTAAGGTAAACAGTTTCATGACATTTTTGTTCCTGTGTGTCTGAACTTGGCCTGAATGTAAAATATAATTATTTCTTCCTGGGTATCCCCGGCAATGACATTTAAGTCACTGATCAAATGTATATATGTATTCTTCATGTAATAAAAGTGAATTTTAAGGCTTACTTAAAAATGAAAGTCACTGATTTAAGTGTTTGGACATCAGGTCTCCAAGGAGATCATCTGCTCCTGTTCATGTGGCTTGGGCTGCAAACTGGCTGCCTACTGGGCAATTTTCCCTCTCCTCAAACTCAGCCAGTGGAGCCTCCTTGCCAACAAATGACAACCCACTTCTACTGGCGTCTGAAAGCTGCAAGGACAGCTGCATGATGCTGCAGGCCAAAAATCACAGGAAGTCTACCAGCACTTTGCAGACCTTCTTTTTTTTGAAGGTAAGAACCCCATGCAAATATAAAATGAAAATGCTAGGAACCCCAAAAAGTAAGTCTGCTTAATTTTGGTTAACCAACTCAGAATCGCCCCCCACCCCCATTTTCTAGCACGATTTGCAATGACCAACGGTCAAGCTGACTCCACTGAGGCTCACCTCTCCCAGTGCACAAGAATCTGCATTTGTGGCATTCCAGAAGTCCTTCAGCCTCTGACTGGTAATATTCCACTTCCTCTTGGCCAGACCTGGGGTGTGCAGGCACATATCTCCCGGAAGGGGGTTCACCATAACTGGAAAGCACATGCAGCCATTAGAAAAGGGCTTCCAATTCAGTGGCTCGCTTAGTATTAGAACCTGTGAATCTGTGATAGGCTGAAACGCTATAAAATATGCAGAACAGACACAAATGTTGCACCGGGTTTCAGACTCCAGAGAATCCCCTGGGCTAGGGCCCCACAGGACATCTGAGCATGTGGCACATCTCTCTAAGTAACTCGTGACAGATCCTGTAATCCTATGTATCTGAGCATCACCACCACTGAAGCCACTTTGTTCACCTGCCTGTGGGGCTGACTAACCAAGTAGCTGTCTAACCAGGTATCTGTGAACTACCTTCTTTGGGAGCTGAGGTTCTCCATTCAGCATGGACCACGCCTGATCAAAAGTCACTGCATCCAGAAGAGCCTGACTGTCCTCTGGGCTGGCATTCTCTTTTGTCCCTTACTTTGGAATCCCTCGAGGCATGTGGAAATGGAGAGACAACATCTGAGAGTTTCTGATCATCTCTTCCTCTGCTACCCTTGGTACTTTCAGTTTCTTCTCTTCCTGCTTTATTTAGCACACAGTGGTCTTTGTCCAAGACTCAACGGAAGGCTGCACTCAACTTGCTGGGATCCAGGGATCGTTCTACAACATGGTCATGTCTGTCTTAGCTTTGAGATTCTTAAAACTTTTAATTCCTCAGAGGGGGGCCTTGTATGCCTCTCTGTGTTCATAACCTCCAACTCACAAACTCAACTATGGTGGGTTTCTCTTTGCCAAAACTTGATGGGCTGTGCCACGCTTCTGGGTCACTGCAGAGCTAGTGCTCTGAAGGAAACACCTTCATCTGCCTCTGCCAGTCTTCCCTTCTTCCTTCTCTAGAGATCAACTTGAGGTCTAGTGACTCTCTTGAGTCTGGCTAGGAGCCCAGCCCCATTCTTTCCAAGTTCCTCCTGCAGGGACCCTGTCACACTATGCTGCAACTAGCCCATGCTAGAGCTCCATCCCTGCATCCTGACCATTAAATGTTTAACCAGAGAAGAGACAAAAATAAGTTACCACTTAGTTTCAAGCATCAAACCTGTTGTGAGCAAAAGAGGCAGAAAAACCTGAGTATTTCCTTCACTCATTATAGGGTGCAATGGAGTGGAATGGGGGAACTGGGTTTCTAGTTTATAAGGAAACCTACAAACGTAGGTTGATTTCCTAGTCAGGCAGTTGCAGTATGATGTGGCTTGAGCCAGAACAAGAGCAAGGGCCAGTGACATATCTGACACACCCTTTGTCCTGCTAGTTGGTTTTAGATAATATAACATAAACTCAGGATAGTAGCTTTCCCACTGTGTGGTAACAACTGGGAAAGACTGGGCTCAACCTCCCAGGTCCCACAGGAATGCTAGGTGTCAAAAGGCAGAAGGCATCCATGGCCCCAGAACCTGTCTCCTTGGTGGGGTGGGCAAGGGTGACATCCCATCTATTCAGTCCCTGGGCCTGGAACATAACCTGCCCATTCAGCAGCATTTTTTTTTTTTTTTTCATTTGAGTATTTGGTAAAGGGTCTCACTATGCATATTGGACTCGTAGTGATCCTCCTGTTTTCAGCCTCCCCAGCGCTGGGATTACAGGTGTGTGCCACTATGCCTTGACTCTGGCTCTGGCTCAGTGCACCCAGGGGTGGGGCTGACGTAGCATGTGGGACCAGGATCAAATCCTGGTCTGGGCACTTGCCAAAGCAGGTTTTTACTCCATTGAGCTATCTCACCGGCCCTCAGCAGCATTTGTGCAGCTGGACTGAATGTTAGCTCCCTAGGTGGGGTGTGGGGACCAGGCCACCCTGTCTCTCTGTTACACCTACACTCTGGTACCTCACAAGCCTTCCAGAACATTTGGGTGCTCTCTCCTTACAGGGTTTATGGGAATGCTGTGTCCTTCAAGGCAGAAACAATGAAGTTGGTTTATTCAGGACAGTGAGATCGCCAGCTGTCGTGAGATTTAAAAGAGGCTACCTAGAATGGCCTCAGAGACAAAAGGGTGACAGTCTATGCCTTCGGTGGGAGACGTGTGGATAGGCTTAGTTCATCGGATGAAAGTGTAGGCTCTCCCAGCTGTGTTTCTGAAATGCATACAGACCTGGAAGGGGTAATACATTACTCTATTAACTCTTTTTTCTTTTAATTTTTTAAAATGTATTTACTACAAGGTCTACAGGTTCTCACTACCCAGATGGGACTCATAGTGATCCTACTGTTTTCAGCCTCTCAAGTGCTGGGATTACAGGCGCGCGTGCATCACACCCAGTCTCAATCCCCATTTTAGAGCACCCCGGGGGCCGGTCCGCACAACTCTATTAACTCTTTATTGGGCTGACTTTAGAACACAGGACAAGGGTCTCCTGCCCTTAGGGCGGCCCTAGGACCACTGGAAGGAGCTTGAGGGAGGAGCCTCTGGTTAGCCCCACCCACCACAACTACTCAAGACTACTTCCTCCTTTCTGGACCCCCAAACACAGACCCTGCAACTGCAAGAAGAGTACGTTCTGCTTTGCTAATCCGGTTTGGGCCACAAGCTGGGAACACAGTTAGGTTTTCCTTCCCCCCCTGGGTCAACCCCAAAAGCGCCAAAGGGACAAATGTCGTTTATTCCTTTAGAGCAGCTTCCTAGGAGGAGTAGCAGGGGGACCAGTGCAGTGCCTGGACGCCCCTCACCCCTTACTCTCACTTCACCCGGACCCTCCGCGACTCGGCCCCAGTCCCCCTCACCTCTCCGGTCCGCGGTGCGCGAACCCCTCCTTCCTCGGGGCCGGCGGCTCCGGGGTTTCCCAGGGCGCGGGCCAGGGGGGCGGGGCCGCGTCCCAACCGGGTCCCCGCGGCTGCTCCGGCCTCCGGCTCTGGCGGGACTTTGCTGGGACTCCTTGCTCACCCGCGCGGCGGCCCGCGGCCTGGGCCCGGTCAGGCCGGGCGTCGCGGCCTCTGTCCCGGTGCCTGTCCCGGTCCTCGCGCCGGCCCGCGACGTCCCTGCGCGCGTCCCCGTTCCTTTCCCCGCGCGGCTCCCCGGCTCGGGCCCGTGGTCGCTCGGGGTGGCGCGGGTCAGGGCGCGGGCGCCGGCCCGGGTCTCCCTCTCTCGGCCGGGCCTGAGCCCCCGACGACGCCTTTTCCATGGCCCGGGACAACCCGAGGGCAACAGCCAACCACAAGTTTTCCGGGAAGGTGGCCAAGCCCAGGGCGGGGCGGCCGGTGGCACCTGTGCGCACGCGCACTGGCCTGGAGGCCCCCCGGAGCGCGCACCTGAGCGCCGGGTGGCTGGGGCGCCCGTGGGCACGGCCGGGAGTCCCGCAGGTGGGATGTGTGTTGTGGAGGATACTGGGGGCCTTGCTGACCCAACGTGCAGCAGGGCCCACAGCCCACCGCACTATGAGCTGTGAAGGGTTCCCTAGGTGAGCTTGCAAGGTGGGCAGCCCTGGGAAGCTACCCCTGGCCACCTCCTGTCAGTCACCACACCCAGCAGGTGGGGGTTGTTTTCCCAGAGCAGAACCACCCACTTGCTCACCCATTCACTCACATCCACCCACCTACCCTGCCATCCACTGTCCTGCTCTTCCTCCTTCCCTCTAACAACAGCTGTGCTGTAGGGTGCCTGAGGCCAGTTCTTGTATTACCATAGTCCCAGACCTAATAATACCTTTAAAAAATGAAGAACTATGCACAACTGGCAGCTTTTTATTTTGCCAAGTAAGAATATTTCTATTGAAAACTGGCACCTCCCAATGAATTCTTTCTCCAAGGGTATATGAGCACCTGTATTCTGTAGGTGTGTGCTGTGCTGGAGAGGCAGTGGTAGACTCTACTTGCACAGTGCCTCTGAGCTGGTGTGTGCATGAAACAAAACAGCAGGCAATAAACAAAGAAAGAAGACAATGTCTAAAACTTAATGGAAAGCTCAGGTTTCTTTATATAGGTGGGGGAGCGAGAAATTCTGGGAATTACCTTTATTTTATTTTACTTATTTATTTTTGTCTTTTCAACACAGAGTCTTGTGATGCAGTTCAGGCTGGCCTTGAGCTCACTTTGTAGCCCAGGCTGGCCTCGAATTTGCACTGATCCTCCTGCTTCAGCCTCCTGAGTGCTGGGGTTACAGGTGTGTACCACCATGCCCAGCTTATTTATTTATTTATTTATTTATTTATTTCGGTACCAGGAACCAAGCTCAGGACCTCGCACTTGCTGGGCAGGCACTGTGCCCCTGAGCTACATCACTGGCCTATGCATTACCTTTATATTTTTCAAAGTATCAGGGTTCTGGGGAAGTGCCAGTTTGAAGGCCCATTCTGCGACTGTTGTGTCCAGGCAACTGACACAGAACATGTGCTCTAGTTGGGCTAAGAAGATATGTCTTTTGAGCACGTTGTTTTGAGACAGGGTCTTACTGTGTAGCCCAGGCTGGCTTCAAACTCATGACAATCCTCCTGCTTCAGCCTCTCGAGTGCTGGGATTACAGGTGTGCACCATTATGTCTGGTGAGCAGCCCCTAAAATAAGTTATTTACAGTCACGGCAAAAGGAAATGCCTTTCTTGAACTTTGACGTGATTGTGCCTTGGCATTTGTTTTGATTTATGTCTAAAAGATATGTTCATAGGTGGGGACTAGGGGAAGTGATTGAGTCAGGGAGCACTATATTCATCAATGGATCAATCCATTGATTAACTTATGGCTGTTAAGCAGTGAGGCGTGGCCAGAAGAGGTGGCTCACTGGAAGGGTACATCCGTGCTCTCTTTCTTCCCTTCCTGTCTGTCTTAGTTACTTTTTACTCATTGCTAGGACAAATACTCTACACTCAAAATGAAGGAAGGAAAGGTTTATTTAGCTCACAGTTACTGGAGGGTTCAGTCCATATCCCGCTGGCTCCAAGGCGCTCGGCAGCAGTTCATGTAGCAGAAAACAATGAAGAGCAGAGGAGGAGCAGCAGCTGCTGCGTCCATTAAGCTTCTCCCTTCTGCGCTGACTGCGAACACTGGCGCTCCATGGCGGAGATTGTAGCTCTTCCAAAGTGGTGCAGCTGCCAAGATCAAGCTCCTCTGAAGACTGGAACTTCTCCACTGAAGCCGGGCAGGGCGGCAGGAAGCCTTTCTCAATTCCTGGGCCCTACCCACCTGCAGGCCCCCACCCAGAGAACTGCCTGAGCTGATTCCGCCAAATTGACACAATGTATCAACTAACTCACAGTCCACCCTGGATTGAATAGGTTTTCTTTACTATGCGTTTTACCACACTGCATCTGTCTTGGGGCCGGCCAACCATGGACTTGATCTGCTGAAACCATGAGCACCGAGAGCCAAAGTAAACCTCTCCTATAAATTGCACCGTTCAGTATTTTGTCCCAAGGATGGAAAAGTGACTAATACTACAGCATTTCATTTCTTATTTTGGCTGGAACCACAACTCTCAGTGGTTACTATCTTTGCAGAATGGTTATTCAGGGACAATCAGAAGTCTGAGTACTTTTGGCTTATTCACTTAGTTTCTGCTCTGTAGTGATAAGGTTGTGAATGTGTCCCCCGGCCATTTCACTGGAGACTTGAGGGCCTACCTCCAGCCTTAGTCCTGCTGTTGTTGCCATGGAGGCTACAAGATGCAGCACAGAGCTCACTGACATCAAAGGGCTGCTGTCCTTCTCTTTCAGTTTCCATGGCCTTCACAGTGGAGACAGTTACCATCACACAGAACTTTCTATCTCTGAAATCTTTTTTCTTTCAATTTTAAATGTACAAAAATATTATACAATGCAAAGAAATATAAAACTGTGTCATGTTGCTATTGATAGTTGTCTGGAGGTGATGGGCAGTAGTGGCTAAACAAGTCCTGCTGCTGAAGGTTTGTTTAGAACTTCAGAAATATATTTTCTCTTGGCAGAAAGCAGTCTGAAATCCTAATCTCATTATTCCTTATTTCCATATTGTAAATACTTTTCCATGTCTTTTTTTTTTTTTTTTTTTTT